TCTTTTCTTTTTCCTCTAACAACTGTTGTAATTTCGCTTCTTCTTGTTTCTTTTCTTGTTTATTTTCTCGTTCTTCTTGTTTCTTTTCTTGTTTATTTTCTCGTTCTTCTCGTTCTTCTTGTTTATTTTCTCGTTCTTCTTGTTTCTTTTCTTGTTTTTGTATTGCTGCCATCAAATCTGCTAGGCTGTAGTCTGATTTGCCGCTTCTCGTTTCCATTTTTTTTCTGTCCCACTCTCTGACACCAATTTGTTACGTCTCCGTTTTTTAATTGATTTTCCGTAACTTCGTACCGACGAAACTTTAAGCGACACAAGTCTTTACTTAATAAAACTGGTTTATTCTTTCCGAATATAACTCTGCGATACACTTAATCTCAATACTCGCGCTAAAACAACACTGTAACGAACGAACGTTAACTTCAACAATACCGTGTGACTGCAGTTCAATTACTCACTATCTATACACACATTACCTTCCCTCCCGCGTCACGTTTTCCCCTCTTATATATATACCAGCCTACCCTACTAGTAAATACTAGAGCATTCGCCAAAGTACATGATAATTCTAGAAACGTTGCGTCACTGTAGTCATGTGACTCGATGACGCAACATTATCAAGACTTTCTCGTGAAACGCTTTTTTATTTCAAAAATATTTATTTTCTTATAAATGTATCCAACAATTTTGCTTGATAAATTTTTATTTATTAGTTCATATTTATATCCATATAAAAGTACACCTAATAATAGTCTGTACAAAATGGTATTAATATATTTTATTCACATTCAAATGTCCCCAGTGGGACTGCGGTAAGTTCACGAACTTACAACGCTAAGATACAGGGCTCGTTTCCCCACGGTGGACACAGCAGATAGCCCAACGTGGCTAAAAACCAACCAACCAACTCATTCACATACGCATGTTCATGTGGGAAAATTGCTGAAAATGACGGACATTCAACTGGCCGGTAGGGGAATTTTAAAAGAAATGTCTGGAACCCTGCCTATAACGAGAGTATGTATTAGTAGTAGCAATGGCGTATAAACCAAAGGTTGCTGGACGGCTTGAAATTGAGATAGACAAACATCGCGAAGAATCTAATTGGAAAAAGGTCTTGGAATTAGCTGACCAGCTTTCTCAACGAACAACTGGATTTGGTGAGAGTGGTCAAATATTTCAGTCTTTTTATTTGGTGTTTAGGTTTGTTAACCGTAAGTTTGTAATACTTTGTAACTCATTTACTCAGCTTACTGTAAGTGTAATTGAGAGAGAGTTATTGTCATATATTATTGTTGCTGTTAGTAGTATTACCAACACTGTTACTCAGTGTTAGTGTTACTGATCATGATATACTTTTAATGCAACTTTTATACGTAAAATTCAAAGTTCAACTTCAAGGTAACACTGACATTAAAATTGATTGATAATATCGTTAATATTATAACACTAACTTGTTCTTGTATTACTCACTATTACTATTACTAGTAGTAGTATTAGTGCTTCTTAACGTATAGTAACATAACTTCAATTATAAGTAACTGGAACTTTATAGGAATATGTAGTTTAATTTACATATATTGTATTAATATACTACTTCAGTAATACTAATAGTATTACTATTGATAATATCAAACTAATAACAGTATTAGTATTACTCTTTGTCATCATCACCAGTGGATGTGCCACTGTCAGTACCTTTTATTAAAATATTACATATTTTTCATTTTATTCACTCATAATATTTTAGAATTAAATTTTCACTGTTAAAAATCAGTACAGAATTATTGTAAGATAAACTACAAGTTAATGCAATTTTTGTGTAAGATGTGTATATGATCAAGTCAATAATTGTTAAACTTGTGTTCTATGACTAATGGTAGTACTCGTACTACTAAATAGTAGTAGTGTAATTTATTATGCATTGACAACAATAATCATTTTAAAGTGTACAGTGCTACACAGTCAATTCACTTATGTAGGAAAAGTATCATTTTAATCCTTAATGTGATGTTAAATATGTTGAGATCAGAGTTGAATATAAGTAAAAGGTTTCTCTCTCTCTCTCTCTCTCT